TCTTGCCTCTCATCCCTACTGCCGGGCACAAACTTGCAGCCTGGGAGGACATGTCACAGAACATGAATTATCATATAAGCCAGTCCCCATACTGCTCCTGGGAAGAGACCTCCTCCTCAAGCTAGAAGTGACTGTCTCTTTTGTACCAAGCCAGTCAGCCTTCCTCTCGTTTAACCCTGCACTTTCCCCCTTGACTGTTCCCTGAGGGGAAGAGGATGCCTGCATCAGCCTGAGACAGATAACCGCAATCCGGAAGTTCTGGAAACTCTCTTCGCAGAGGGAGGAGCTAAGAACTTGCCTTGGTGTGTGGCCATCAACCACACTGCCTCACAACAACCTCCATTACTGTCAGGCGTCATGGGAAGCACAAACAGGCAGCTAAACACACATCAGCCTGGTAGATTGTTAATCACCTTTCCTGCCTGTAATGTAAAATCAGTTCAAGATCTCTGCACTGCCAGTGCCGCTGCGATTGCCCTCTGTATAAGTTAGTCTTCTGCCACCCACAGCCTGCTGCTACACCTGCCTGGACCTAAAGAATGCCTTCTTCTGCCTTTGATTGGCTCCTGCCAGCCAGCCCCTCCTTACCTTTAAATGAAAAGACCCCAGTTCTGGACTCAAAAGACAACTGACCTGGATTCAACCTCCTGGAGGTTCAAAAACTTATTTCTTTAAAAAAGCACTTCTGATTAATGATATCCAAACTGCCTGCTGGAAAGACACAAAAGCTCTGCTACAATATCTGGCAGAAACTGGCTACAAGAAAGAGACCCCACACGTTCCTTAGCGCTGCTGGCTTCTGTAGAATCTGATCCTTGAGTTTACAAAACCAGTGATGTTTCCTCAGACTGTCAGTTCCTGGCAGTGCCTGGAGGCCTACCTGTGCAAATACTTGGATCTAGTTGCTAAGGGCTTCCTCCTCCTTTTACCTCCATGCTCTAACAGCCATGGTTCTTCCGATTAGAAACCTGACAAGCACATCTTAGGCTGAGACCTAACTTTCCAGGTGCCACATGCTGTGCTGGACCTCACCCAGTACCATGACTGTCTGGCGCTGGCTGATGAAATGTTCTTGAGCCAAAATGGACCTCCTGACAGATACTGAGTACATCCTGTTTACGGATGGAAGTAGCTCTCTTAGGAATGAAGTGTGACAGGCCCAATATGTTGTGCTCACCTTGGACAAAACTATTTTGGCCAAAACTCTGCTGCGGGGATGATCTGCACAGCAAACTGCTTCCTGCTGCTATTTGGAAACCTGCCGCTAAACGATGCAAAATAATCCAATCCAGAGGCCTAAACTCTCTCTGGGGATTCAAGTGACTGAAGCATCAACCCCAGCCATCAGACCTGCCCCCACTTGAGTTCTGCAGGCTCAAGCTGCTGTGTTGGACCTGTATCCCTGTAGCTGGCTCAGGCTTCAGCGTCTGTGTCACTGGCCCTGATCTCCCATTTCCCACTCATAGTGAGAAGACAATAAAAGTTTGTAGGGTCTTCCTGTAAAAAATTGTTCCTAGATATGGCCTATCCTTGATCATTGGCAGTGACAACAGGCCTACACTGTAGCAGGAGTAATTTAAAAAGTATATTAAATAAAAACTACATATAGCATATAGACAACAAAGCTCTAGAAAAGTTAAAAAACAGCTTGTAACTCACACACATGTAACCAAGGTGCATATTAAATACCTCTATAAGTTTCAGAAATCCAGCCTTAGATCTGCTAGAGAATTTACCTGGACAGCTCCTCCGAGGTTCACCCTGAAGAGACAATGCACTCAGAGCCCTGCTGTGGTCACTCTGGATGCTGACCAGTCCACGCATGGCTGAAGCCTGAGGACATCATTCACAGAATTGCTCTACACCTGTTCCCCTTGTTTTTTGTCTTTTCAGGTTGCTTACCCCAGACCTTGCTTCCCTGCTCCCTGTTATATTTTTTTGCCTTAAACTCTATGGATGGCTGTCCCAAGAAAATCAGTCAATCAAGCAATCAATCAAACACTTGACCAAGATTTGATGACTGTCTGAGATTTGATGAGTGTCCAAGGCACACAAGACACTCTCCCAGATCAGATTAACTCCCTAACTACCTTGCCAGAGTAATGTTACAGAACAGGCAGGACTAAATTATGTCTCTTCCTAAAAACAATTTAGGTAAAAAACTGTGATAAGACAATCTTGGGGAACTTGCCTAGGGCCCATCCTAAGATCACTAACAACCCTAATGTTACTGCTTCTGGTTAGGGCTTGTCTCAGAAGATCACATGTAATATGCCCAGCAAAGATTTGCCAGAGAAACTAAAAGAGGGAGGAAATGTAACAAAAAATGACCTTCGTAGCCAGTATACTTCAGTTTCTTAGTTGCCCAGGTAGTAGCTCCTGTTCCAGTTACGGTTGCTCCTGTCTTTTAGAAACAGCTGGTCATTGTGATGCACATTGTATAAACCAATCCTCAACTGACAAGACATGCTGCCTCTGTACTTCCTTCTTGCTTATCCCATATAAGCCCTAGACCACCAAAGATCAGGGCCTGATATTTTGGGAGTGATCCTGATCAGTGCCCATCGATGTAAATAAATCTGCCTCCAAATCCCGGGTGTTGTTTTGGCGTTTCTGCTTGCTGTTGCACTCTGACATGTCACTTTGGTTTTTTTTTTTTCCTGGTACCGGGAATCGAACTCACAACCTCGTGCTTGCCAGGCAGGCCCTGTACTGCTGAGCTAAATCCCCAGCCCCTGACATGTCGCTTTGGAGGCCAAATGTTTAATCATGAGTTTTTAATCATCCCACAGTGTCCTACTCCCTTGCTAGGAAGAGATCACTAGGAAAATTGGGGGTAATTCTCAAATTCCAGCAAAGGTCAAAATGGACCCTGTTGGGACTATGCTGTGTCTCTCTGACCTAACAAGCCAAAAGGTAGATCCTGCTACATGCTCTAGTGGAATACCTGACTTAAGAAAACCCCTCTTTCTATGTCAGAAAAGGGAGGAATTGCTTTGGGTGTTTTGACCCAGAACACTGCTCAGTGGTGTACTTTTCAAAAAATTAGATGAAGTGGAAGGTGGAAGCCAGGTATGGTGGCGCACGCCTGTAATCCTAGCACTGAGGAGGCTGAGGCAGAAGGATCGTTCTGAGTTTGAGGCCAGCCTGGGCTACAAAGTGAGCCGAAGGCCAGCCTGGACTGCATAGCAAGACCCTGTCTCAAAAAAATAAAAAAAAAATCCCACATGGGGAATTGTCACTAGAATTTTCACAGGACTAAAAAGAAAGTTATTCCTGAGAACCTCTGGAAGACCCGAGGCTCCTCTTCAGAAAGCAAGGATCCAGTTATTTCTTCAGGTACAGATGAGTAGAGTCATTCATGATCCTAATTTGCCACAGCTTAAATGGGCACCTGTGTTGAGGCTCCTATTTTTAATTAGATCTATTACATGGGTAATTTGCTAAGGTTCTTTTTTTTTTTTCTGGTACCGGGGATCGAACTCACACCCTTGCGCTTGCCGGGCACGCGCTGTGCCACTGAGCTAAATCCCCAGCCCCGCTAAGGCTCTTAATAGTTCATCTAACCTCCCTCTTTGCCAAACCTTGTCCTCCACAAGAAGCACGGAAATCCCACCTGCTAAAGTTATTTTCTTTCTCCCATCGAACAGACAGCTCAATAGTCACTAACTCTTTTCTCATTGTCTTTTAACAGTTTTTCTCTTGGATATACCCAGTGAACCACAGTACACCAAGGTAGTTGGAGAGCACATAGTCCCCAGTAGGTAGGGGCTACAGCTCCTTCCAGCTTGAAGAAGCTGTAGAAGACAGAGACCTTTACTCCCTCAGCACCCCATGAAGAATTAAAGGGATTTGTGTCTCTTTGGGGAAATGAGACAGGAAGGTAGGTGTGGCTAAAACTGGCTGGGAAAGGAGGTGAGACAAATCCAAGGACACATGCGCAGAGGAGTTCGCGAAGCCCTGCATGAGGACTTCTCGCGAGACCTCGAGCAGGTTTGCAGTAGGACTGCCGGGACCTGACCTCAGCCTGAGGAGTGAGGGATACAACAATGACGCCCACACTGAGTCTTTGCCATGGTGTTCTGTCTTGCACGGTGGCCGCCCTCACGCTATAGGGTGCACTTCTTTTCCTGCTTTTACTTGGCCCAACTCTGTCTGCCGAGACTGTTTCTTTTCCTGCCTTTAATAAAACTTTGCTACTGTTTGCGCTTGCCTTGACCAATTCTCCGCTGAGGACAGAACCTAGAAACCACCCCTAGGAGACACCAGCCCCCCAAACCTGGTAACAGGGGCCCCAGGACAGGTTTCCAGGTTCTTGTGTGTGACAAAGGATTGGATGTGGCAGATAACAGTAAGGAAAAAGCAGCAAAGTTTAATGAAGTTTTATTAGGCAAAGGTACGCGCAGAGCGAGCCAGCTCATGCTGGCAGAAAGGCAAGTGGCACAAGTGCCGAATGGGTTGGATTGAAGAATCTAAAATGTTGTGCCAGGCTAGGGCACCTCCCGTGGGGTCTTTAAGAGCTGACTGACAACATGATGGAGAGGGTGCTGACTCATCTGCTGAGGACAGACAGCCCCGGTGACGGTGTCTCTCTGAACTTCTTGGCCCACTGCCACTGACCGCTTGTCCTCTGGCCCTGTGCCCGAGCATGAGCTGTCCCCTCAGCCCAGCGTCTCCTCCTCCTCCTCCTCCACTTGGAGAAAACTCAGCTCTGTAAGACCCAGGTTGCCGTCACCCCTCCCTGACTACATGGGGAAGTGGACAACAGTGTCTGTGTCTCCAGAGTATCCGCCACACGATGGTATCACGTCTGTCTCCTCCACTGCACTGAGAACTCATTCATGTTTCTCCCCTCTCCCCCGGCTCACCCCAGGCCAGAAGAGCTCTGCGGGAGGTGCCGAGGGAATGACTGCATCGTACATCCCATCCGTACAAAAATCTTTCTGTTCGAAAACAGAGTCATGTGGGTTGAAAAATAATGCACACGGAAGAGCCTATGGTACAGACTATAGATGTGGGAAGAACTTTATTTTGTTGTGCAAAGAGTCTTCACACTTCAAACACACATTATCAAGAAGACCGTGTTGTAGCAAGGGAGGTGGGAGAGGCTGGTCTGCAGCACAGGCTCGCTCTGGACGCGGGACAGATGTTCTGTGGCGCCTCCCCGGACACCTGTCCCTGAACTTCCGTCCCTTTTTGACCTCTGCCCTTCTGTTGTGAACCCAGCGGGACGGACTGTCTCTGTTTTCTTGCGTTCTAAAGCGGCTTCCTCGCATCACATGGGGAAGGAGGAGCGTCCTCTCAGGGGTCTGCTGGGCTTCGCAGCTCCAGGAACAACCAGGACTGAAGCCTGGGCCACAGCCAGGGGAAAGTGAGTCAAACCACCACTAAAAATTCCCAGGAGTAAATCAAAACTGACTCTGGACCTGGGCTGGGAGTGCTGGCGAGGGAGCCCAGAACTTCTCTGGCTCCTCCGTCTGCTCTGTGGAGGCCGGAGGGCGAGAAGGGACACAGGTGGCCCCGGGGCTCCTGCCAGGCTCCTCTGAAGGTGTCCACCCAGAAGGTCACGGTGGCTCCAGCTCTCCTGTCACCACCCTGTCGTGCTCCCCCCAGACCCTGGCCTCCTTGGAGCCCAGAACCCAGAGCCGGACCCCAGGCACGGCCATCACCGCCCCAGGTGTCGGAGTTTGGAGAATCCCGGCCTCTGCCCATTGTCACCTTGCCTCTGGAACGGTGGCTGCTTCCTGCAGTCAAAATCTCCACCACCCCCAGTCAGTCTCAGTTCTTGTCCTTGAGCTTTCCGACCGCCGACAGCTGGAGTACCAGTCTCCCTACTGAATTCTGTCTGTTAACATAAGTAACCTACCGTCTGTCTGTCTGTCTGTCTGTCCATCTCTCTCTCTCTCTCTCCATTAAACTGGTTGATATACTAGGTAATTCTAATTCTAAATAGCTTTGAAAATAAATCTGAATGAATTAGGTAAAAATAAAGAGGAGAATCTATTTCAATGGCAAAGACATAACTGAAAAGCCATAACTAAGTGACGGCGAGGAATGAAAAGAATGAACTGTTTCAGATGCTGAGCATAACAAATTCAGAAACAGAATGTCTGGGGGTGCTGGGGATTTAGCTCAGTGGCAAAAGCACCTGCCTGGCAAGTGCAAGGTCAGGAGTTCGATTCCCGGTACCAGAAAAAAAAAAAAAAAAAAAGAAACACAATGTCTGAAAGTGAAGCAACTCAAAATCTTTCAATGAGTTTCAGTGAAGTAGCTGTAAAAATAAGTAACTCAACAACTCCATTAACAAAAACTCAGACATTAATAATGATAAAGATACATCATTAAAAATAAGTCGTTATAAGCTAATTAATTTGACATCTGTGACTCTTCAAACAAAATAACTTTAAATGACTGAAAAATGAAAGCCAAACACTAACGAAAATAAAATATTTTTAAAAAGTAACTAAAGGTATAAAATGAGATAACTAGAAACTCCAATATAAGTGAAAATTAATGAAACTAAAACAAAAACTAACTGAAAATAACTAAAACAAATTTTAAAACTTACACAGCTATATGCCAACATCCCAAGCTGCCATGGCGAACACAGAGCAGATCTGCGTTCTCTCAGGGAGAGGAGCAGTCACACCCAGCTGCTCCTCCAAGCGGGTCCCAGCCCAGCGCAAGGGACTTTGGCAATGTTGAAGGCATTTTTTGATTGTCACAGTTTGGGGTGGGAACACGGCATGGCATGGTGTGTTACTGATATCTCGTGGGGGGTGCTGCCTGTCATCTGACATTGCAGGGTGCAGCCCCTTCAATGACATATCTGAGCCCTAAAGTCAGGAGCCCTAAGTCTTTGAGTATATACTGGGGGCTCCTTGGGACCTCTGCTAGGGGTGCACATCCACGGCCGAGCTGTGGGCTGCTTTCTTCTTGAGGAATGAGAGCATGATGGCGGTGCCCCTGCAGCCTCTCTCTCCCTAGGTGGATGGCGTGGAGGCCTGGCCAGCCTGGGGTGATGGTTGTGACAATGGTTAGTTCTCTGGAGAAGGGACGCTGGGACCCGCAGTCCTCGCTGGCACTGTGGGTGGCTGGATGCCTGCATGCTCCTCCTCCAGGCTGCTCAGTGCCCTGAAACGCCAAGAAAGTCAGTGAAGGCCAGGCTGACACACCGGCTGCTTCCCTCCTCATCCATGCTCACCTTTCGTCATCACGTTCTCTTCCCCCCTCGGTGCTTTCTCTCCCTGTCTCTAGGAGCACAGCTCCGGAGCGCCCCGTCTCACAGCTGTCATCCAACTGGAAAAGTCCTGAGAGCTGGGGGAAAGGAGGGGACACAGCTCAGAGCCGGCGGGGTGTGTGTGGGGTCCTGCATGGCCCAGGCCTCCTGGGTGATCCCAGCCCCAGCCCCCACCGGGGCCCCTCATCATGGCCAGAAGCCAGCACATGGCCAAGGTGACAGGGCCATAGGGACGTGCAGGGTGGTGATGGAGGTGCCACTCTGAAGGGCCGGGCCCTCAGCTTCCAAGTCCTTGTGGGGTCATGAAAGGAGGGCAGGCGATGGAGGAGTGGGGGCAGGGGCGGCTGTGGACCGGAACAAGCCGGGCAGGAGGCGGGGGAGAAGATTACGCTCAGTGCACTGCTGTCCCTTTCCAGGTCTTCTGCGCCGTCGCCGCCTTCCCGGGCTGCCACAGAAATGACCTCGGGGCTGTGGCCACCTGGGAGAGAAAGGGACGTGGTTGGGGTCCCTCAGCCACAGGCAGGGCGTCCAGTGCAGCGTGGACCCTGGGACACGTCCTGTCCCCTCTGGCTTCACGGGGCAGCACGAGGCTTCCCACATCCTCCCGTTTGCCTGGGCTCAGGGCACGCTGGGTTGGATGACTCCCCAAAGAGGTGTTTCCGGGGCCTTGCAGTGGCCAGGACAACTCAGGAGGTGACAGACCTCACAGGTCCCAGCCCCCCAGGGGACCAGGTGTGGGGGGGTTCGTAGATCTGCAGCCGGGGCGACAGCTCTGCTGACTCCTGTTCGCTGTAGGAGGTGCTGTGGCCGGAGGTCTGCAGTGTGACTGGGGTGACTGATGTGTGCGTGGGCTGCAGAGGCATGGGCAGAGGGAGCCGGCTCCGCGTGGACAGTCCCCGGGCTGCTGGAGCCCGGGCTGGGGACAAGGCTGGGGCTGTCCTGGCCTTGCCACCAAGCAGCTGTGTGGCCTCGGGAAGTCCCTCAGCCTCTCTGGGTATGTTTCCTTATCTGGCAAATGGGGATAATAAGATCTATTTTGCAGTGTTGGTGTGAGGGTTAGCTTAGGTGTCGATAAAGTAAAATGCCTGGAATGTAGTGACACTTGATATTATTGTCCACAGCGACTGCAGGAAGGAGCTGCGGGCACTTGAGGCGGCTGATCACAGCGCACATTGGGGCCAGGTGGATCTACCCGTGTCTCCGCCTCGTAAACACACGGGTCACTAATGGCTTTACAAAAAGGAACACAGGAGAAACACACACACCCGGAAAAACCCAACCCCACCCACGGGGACAAATATGTAATTGGATTACAGCAAAACATTTAATCCACAAGTGTGCGTTCTTGGCAAATGCCCGCGAGGAGGGGTCCTAGCTGAGGCGCGGCAGCGTGCTGGGCAGGTGTGCCCGAGTCCCGGGGCCGCTAGGAGCGCGATGACCGCGGCGTCGGTGGGGAAGGAGAGAAAGCGGGGCAGCGAGCCAGGAAAACGATGCAGGCACGGCCGGCAGATTTCCCCTTCCCGTAGCGGCGGTAACAAGCGTCCTCCGTAATTTACAGAATCCAGTTTTCGCACTGAATGTAAACATTCTAAGAATGCTAAGTTTTTACTTTGCTTAGATGAGTCGAATATCTTCAGAATACACTTTTTTGGTAAATGACTGATTTGGAAGTCACAATCGTGGCTTTTCCACTGCGGTCCAGTGGATGGCGCAAGGGGTCTGCGGTTGAATCTGCGTTAACTGGGCAGGCTATTTCATTTCCTTTCGAACTAGATTTTCCTCTATTCCTTATAACTCGTTCAGGACGGTCGCTGTCACACGCAGCGAAGTGCATCATTTTCTCTCAGAGAGTTGGGGTACAGAGCTGCCCTGAAGCGGTGCCTAGACTCCTGGGCTCTCCTCCCTTCCCTGGGAGGAGCAGTGGGTCACTAAGAGCAGTGTCTGCCTGCTGACGGGATCCAGGCACTGGCCCGGGGTTTCATCTCCTTTTGTCTCCATGAGAAGCCTACGCGGCGTGACCTCCATTTTGCAAAACAGGTGATAACAGAACTTGGTGATAACAGGTGATAACAGAACTTGCTCCCAAAGAGCGAAGTCACACATTCAAAGAGATGAAACTGGACCCGAGCCTGGATCCGTGAGACCTCGGAGTCCCAGCCCTTACCTGGGACGCAGCCGACCCAGCCCTCTCTGCGCACTGCCTGGGGTCACGTTCTGCCTGGTCATCCCGGCAGCCAGGACTCCCGCCACGAGCGTGCCGGCGAGTTCCGGGGCTCCCGGGCTGGAGTAGATTTTGTTTGGGGTTCCAGAGTGCGAGCTTGGATGTTGAGGCTGGGCTACACCCGACACTGTCTATTTCATTTGCAAAACTATCTTGTTTTTTCCTTTTTTTTTTGGTACCAGGAATCAAACTCAGGACCTTGTGCTTGCCAGGCAGGTGCTGTGGCCCTGAGCTGTATCCCCGGCCCGCAAAGCTGTCTTGGCTATGAGGAAGCAGAACATTCCTAAGTACAGTATTCAATTCACTGCATTCAGCTTCCACATATGCTCAGAACACAGAACGCTTCTTTCTTTTTTCCTCCTTCCAGTGAATTAATTTCTCTTTCTTTTTTTCTTTTTCTTTCTTTCTTTCTCTTTCTCTCTTTCTCTCTTTCTTTTTAAGAGTGGGAAACTTGGGGCCGGGGATATAGCTCAGTGGTAGAGTGCCGGCCTGGCAAGCACAAGGTCATGAGTTTGATTCCTGGTACCACACAAAAAATAAAATAAATAAATAAATAAGAAGAGTAGGAAACTTTACTGGGAGAGACAGCTTCTGAGGGACAGGAAGGGGCTCCAGTGGATTGCCCTAGTGAATTTTCTTTGTCAAAGTCCTTGCCAACTTCCAAGGTAGTCTGAATTTGCTGATTTATTTATTTATGTTTTTTGGAGACAGGGTCTTGCTGTATAGCCCAAGCTGGCTTTGAACTCACTATGAAGCCCTGGCAGGTTTTGAACTCACGGAGATCCTCGTGCCTCAGCCTCTCAAGTGCTGGGATAACAGGCCATGCCGGGCCCATGTTTGCTACTTTCAGCTGCCGTGAGCAGGGGTCAGAGAAACTTCACAACTGGGAAACCACCTCCTAGTTCAGCTTCAGCTGCCCTCAGATGTTACGGGCTGGAATGGGCCCAAAGGTAGATGATGGGGTGGACAACAAGTCATTGTGTCCTGTGGGGTTCAGTCTAAGTCACGCCCATTTCATCAGATTTATGGAAAATTGTCAATAAAGCTAAAATATAAAGCCACCAAACTTCAGCAGAGTGCCAGTGTTTTTTTTTTTTGTTTTCTTTTTCACTTGATCTTAGCCAAAAGGTGAGAAGCGATTGTTGTTGTCTTTTTGAGACAGGGTCTCCCTATGCAGTTCAGGCTGGCCTTGAACTCACTGTGTAGCCCCGGCTGGTTTCAAACTTGCAACGATCCTCCTGCCTCAGCCTCCCAAATGCTGGGATTACAGGTGTGTACCACCACGCCTGGCTAGTGTTTTTGTCTTTAAATCATGCATTTCCATAGACACAAAGTCTGAGAGAAGATGAGCAAAATGGTTTTATCTGGGTTCTGTCTGATTTGTATTTGCATTTGTACTTTTCTGTATTTCCTAAATTTTTAACAATCTTTTCTGGTTATTTTATATTGTCTAATCAGAAAAGGAAACGTAAAATAGTTAAAATCAGTTGGTCAGTCATTTAAAATAATCTGTACTCTGAGAAGGCTGTTTGCTAGAATTTATTTCCTTCATCAAATACAAACATGAATAAAATAATTTTGAGTAATAAAATAATCATATTGAAGGTAAATCACTTAGCAATGCTACAAAATGAGCAAAGCCTCAACCCCTATAGCCCACACTAGGTGCCTCACAGGTCACCTGCAAGACCCCAGGGGACCCGATGAGGCCGGAAGAGGGGCCTGGCTCTCCAGGCTTCTCAGCCAGGCTCTCGGTTTGCTGCCTCTGGAATGTGATGGTTATTCTCATTTTATGCATCCTTGACAAATTAGAGACAGAAGTGAATGTCGAATTCAAAAATTTTCACACGATCCAGGCTACTGAAATATTATTAGCTGAACTCTTTACTTTCACTGTCCACTGCTGGAGAGAGGCTGGCTATCGAGGCGCGGAGCTGTACTTGGGATTCCTCGGGGGAACCCCACCTTCCTCCTCCGGGCCGGGGCGTTAACAGCCCTGACACTTTGTCCTCATGCCAGCAGCTGGCCAGCAAAGAAAGCAGTTGCCATGCTAGCAGAAGGAATGCGTCCTGACCATGGTGAGGAGGGAGGCTGCTCCCGGGGCACAGGGCCGTGCGACCTCCCTCGCTGCTCCACGGCCCAAGGTGCTCCTGTCAGTGAATCAGCAAAAGATCCACGGCTTGATATACGTCTGGGATGCTACTGAGCAAGACAGCAGCAGAGGTGCCGGTGGGACCCTGCGTCGAGACGTGTAGAGTGGGTGGGAGGGCAATGCAGTCTTGGAAACCCAGGCCCGAGCCCGCAGGAGGTGGCAGACTTAAATGTCAATGAAGCAGGACTTACTGTGTCCGTAGTGGAACTGTTCCCCCTGGGAACCAAGACCTCTGGATCCAGTGAGGCTAATGTCGTAGGGAGGAGGGGGGAGGATGTCCCACGTGGGTCACCAGGAGCCATCAAAACAAGGTCACAGTTCACTGGGCATCTTGGCTCCCAGATTCACGTTTTGCCCCGTGGAGCATAGTGCCACCTTGTGGCCATGATTCAAGGCGCGCACTGTGTCATGAAAGACAGCACCCACCCTGCAGTGCCGTGTCTGCACCGCTGCCCTGCCCTGCCTCACCTGCAAGCTGCTGTTCTACTGCCCCATCGGGTGGCGGTGTCTGAACGGGGCGGGAGGATCAGCGGGCCCTGTGGTTGTGCGTCCACAGCCTCTTTTGCCACAGAGAAAGTCTCTTGATCAAAGCAAGTGTGTGATCGATCACACACTGCACCCTTTTGCCCAGGTGATAAGATCAACTTTTTCCTCGGGGGAGAGGAAGACACTCAGCGCTCTGAACGGGTCTCCGCTGGCAGCTTGGACTCCAGCCGTGGTCGTAGCTTGATCAGTCTTTTTGTTTTCAAGGAAAAGCAGACTGCCACCTGCAGCGCGTCCACTGGATGTCCGGTCTTAGAAGCTCCTCTCCCCGTGCTCCTCTGCAAATGCACCTTGAGGGCGTGTTTGGAGGCCCCAGCACGGGAGTTCAGCTGCTCCTGGGCCCTTAATTGAAGACTGTCCCCCTTAGTGGAGCAGGCCACCAGCTCTGAACACAAAGCTTCGGGAAGGATGACTGGGGCGTGGTGAGGGAGGAAGGAGATACCCACCCAGCCAGCCACATCAGCCAGAGCAGCCCTGGCGAGCCAAAGGGCGGCAGGTGTGGCCGCCAGGTCACGACCTAGTGCCCCTTGAGGACAGAGCGCCCGCTGCTGGGCCCACGCGGAGCTCCAGTTCTGCTGCCAAGGCTTCTCCATTGATGAGCCCATGGCGTAGGCGCTGGGGTGCCCAGGAGGAGGCCTGTCAAGTTGTCCAGTCGGCTTGGTCACCTGGTACTTCTGCCATGGGCCTTCCTCGTTGGGCATTAAAACGCAATTCCGTGCTCTTTACTTTTTTTTTGTTTTGTTTTGTTTTTGTTTTTTCTCCGGTACTGGGAACTGAACTCACGACCTTGCGCTTGCCAGGCAGGCGCTTTTGCCGCTGAGCTAAATCCCCAGCCCCCATGCTCTTTACTTTTGGAGCACATACCTGTAAGGCCCAGGTGCCTCATCCCTGCTTGGGTCCTGCTGTCATTTGACCCCAGTCATTATTCTGGAAGGGGCCAGGAAGGATCAGGAGGAAGCAGAAGGTGATCACGCACCTACCTGCCTCACCTGCAGCTGGCCCTCGGAGCCCCGAGTGACCACGCGGCAGCCTTGCTGCAGGAGAGGATTCAGCCCTTGTTCAAGTGCCCCCCCCACTCTTCAGCTGCCTGGCTCTGCGGGCGGAGACGGGCGGGATGTGGACGAGGAGACTCTCATTCGCACACCGTGCTGTATATTGGTGACTAACCCGAGCCTGCCCCTGTCTCGTTAGTGACTCGGGGGGCGAGCCACAGCCTCCCAATTCCACCATCCTCAGAGGTGACACTTCCGCCTCTCAGATGCTAGACACAGCGCAGCCTCAGGTGCATCTCTGTCCAGCAGGTCTGAGCTCGGGTCACTGAGGTGCAGGTCTGGGCCTCAGAGCTCCCGCAGCAGGCGGGACCAGGACTCCCAACACTCATGTAACACCAGCCTTTCGGGCGGCAAGTGAGCTGGCACCAGAGTCCCGCTGTTTCTAGGTCTGCTCCCGGGACTGCTGTGGGGCAGGCTCCCTGGAAGCAGAGTACGATGAACTCTGAAAGGCAGCTTGGACAGACAACAAGGCGGGAAGAAGCAGGCACGTGTGTGTGTGTGTGTGTGTGTGAGTGACAGCCTACTAAAGAGGAACTGGCCAGGATGTCAGCTTTTGTTGCTGTCAGATTATGAACGTGGTTTACTTAAAGTTTTGGGCAGGCTTGATTGTTCTTGGAGCAGTTTTAGGTTCACAGCAAAAGTGGGAGAAAGGTTCAGAGATTTTCCTGTTACCTCTGGCCCTACACATCCACAGCACCCCTCTGCTGCTAACTTCCTCCCCCAGTAAGGTGAGATGCTTGTTATACCTGATAACCCTACCCTGAGACATCATATGCACCCAACATCATCGTTTATCTTGGGTTCACTCCTGGGGGTGCACATTCTGTGTGTTTGAACAAATTCATGACATGTGTCTACCACTGTAGTATCATAGAAAGTATTTCCACTGCCCTGAATTTCTTCTGTGCCGTCTATTCAACCCTCCTGCCCCATGAAGCCCTGAAACTACTGATCCTTCTACTACCCACATATTGTGCCTTCCCCAGAACGTCACCAAGCTGGGTGTCCGACGGATTGTAACCTTTTCAGATTGGCTTTTGCGCTGAATAATACATAAAGTTTGTCCATATCTCTTCTTGATTTGAGAGGGCTTTTTTTTTTTTGGTCTTTTTGATACAGGGTCTCACTATACAGTTCAGGCTGGTCTTGAGCTCACTTTGTAGCCCAGGTTGGTCTTGAATTTGCAGTGATCCTCCTGCCTCAGCCTCCCGAATGCTGGGATTATAGAGAGGTGCCATCACACCTGGCTTATAAATATTTCTTTGAGTTAAACATCTCAAAAACATGACATATATTATAACTTGTCAAAGATTGATAGGCTCAGGTTTTTAATAGAGCTGATAATCAGAAAATCACCTGTTAAATGAACGCCGTAATAGGTTGAAAACAGAAGCCTCAACACCCGGTCTGCTGGGCCAGTTGAAAGAAGAGTTTAATACCAGGAATCTTCCTTCAGTTTGAATTTTTCAAAACAGAGGAAGCTGACCTGTGACCTGATGCAATCACCACAGCAGATCTGAGATAGTATTAGGAATAAAACTAATTGTTTAGCAGATACAACTCTGATTTTCTTTTCTCAAAAGTGGTTTTCACAAGCCAACCCAAAATCTCCACAGGAAAGCAAACATAAAAACCTCATCCCTCCCAGAGACCTGGTCTCTGCCCGTACAGCAGTGATGGTGAACCTTTTAGGACTTTCAATAATAATAAGCAGGGCTGAGAATATAGCTCAGTGGCAAAGTGCCTGCTCAGCCAGCGCAAGGTCCTGAGTTCAATTCCTGGTACCAAAAAGAAAAAAAATCGTAATGATAATGATAATAAACAGCTGGCTGTGGCACAAGTGCCATACGTCTGCCACTACTACCATAGAGAAATAGGCCTTTGGAAAAGACGATTTAGGGATCATGTTACAGAAGCCCTTAGCCGTCAGGATTTTTCATAAGCCTTACTTTTCCCAGTCTGTACTAAAAAGAAAATAGGCAGTCTTTCATGTTCTAAATATAAAACAGTTTAACACTTATACCCACACCCCCTAACTGGCAATCACTGCCTCCTTAAATGATAATTGCTATTCATATTTGTTGACCAAGGTGGAACATCTAATTTCTTAGTTATATGATCTTCTTCCTGTTTGTTTGTTTGTTTTTTGTCTTTTTGAGACAGGGTCTTGCTATGCAGTTCAGGCTGGCCTTGAGCTCACTTTGTAGCCCAGGCTGGTCTTGAATTTGCAATGATCCTCCTGCCTCAGCCTCCCAAGTGCTGGGATTACAGGTGTGTGCCACCACGCCCAGCTTCTTTTTCCTGTTTAATTTGCCATTCATGCTCTTAGCAACCAAAGGTCTAGAAGTCTGAAGAAGAAATGTGACACTAGTTAGTTTGGCCTGGGGTGGGTAGGTATAAGAAGCGGGCTGTGTGTGTGCGTGTGTGTGTGTGTGTGTGTGTGTGTGTTTCAAGGGCTTTTTGTACTATGTAGGTGATGAAGGAATGCATTTTGCAATACAACTCTTTTCACAGGACTTTGCCAAATAAATTCTGCCTGGAGATATACTTCATGCTCTGCCAAACCAATTCGAATGGTCTGCTATGAACTGAGTGTTTATGCCCCTCCGCCTCACTCCTGTGTTTCAGCTCCCCCCTCCCCATGTGGTGTCATTGGTGGATAAAACCTCCCGGAAGTAATAAGGTTAGAGGAGGCCAGATTAGATGGCCCGATGGAGTTGGTGCTCTGAGCTCACAGTGACAAGACAGCCCCGCCCCAGCACCCAGCATTGGAAAAATAAATTTTTGTTATTTAGGCCACTTAGTCTATGATATTTTGTTTATGGTAACCTGAGCTGACTAGGACACAGTCCAAAGGCCAGAACTTCAAATACTAAATTCCCAAGGCTTTTATTATGGGCAACGGCCAAAACATAAAGTAGAGGATTTTCTTGGGGGGGGGAGGGGATTATCTTTAGTTGAACTAGTTAAAAAAATGATGACAAAAATAGCATATTTAAAACCTCATGAAAATAAAATCCACTGTGATGTTCTTAAAGTATGAAAGTGACCCTATATCTGCTTTTCTTTTTAATTCCCCGCCCAGTTCGGCCAGTAGGAAATCAATGTGCAAAAGGGTTAGAGCTGAAATCTCATGATCAAGTCTCTGCACCGAGATTTCTCTACCTTTCTGTGGAAAGTCTGGGGAGGAGGTAAAAATTCACAAACCCTGGGTAGAGTGAGAGGTGAAGGGCCAGGGTCACGAGTCCAAAACACAACCTTCTAGCCACGCTCTCCTCCCTCTGACCTTCTAGCCATGCTCTCTTCCCTCTAACCGTTGTTCTCAACAGGACAGCTCTTCCAAGAAGAAAGTTACTTCTCAGTGTGAGAATCTGGACTTAATCAGAGCCACACATTTCCAGGTGAAATGGACTCTATACTGCATGGAGGGTTAAACATGTCCAGTTTTCCCCTCTTATTACGAAAGGAGGGCCGGCACTCTGGAGATGTTCTCTGACCATTCTCCTTTAGGACCTACCTTTAATCCCATGTGTGCTGGACCCTGGGTCTTCCTTGCTGGTAGCTCTTTCCATACTCGCAGTCCAGGGAGCACATTCCTCTCCGCTGCCTGCGCTTTAGAGAGATACACGCCAGCACTGAGCGGTTGCAAAGGACGGCGCCGGCTCGCTCCCTCCCTCCCTCCCGCCCTCCCTCTGCCAGCACGGGTAGTGCTCTCATGGCAGGTCACCTCTGGTCTGAAGTCTCAAGGGTCAGCTTCTCTTGTCATCTTGGCCTGTGGTCTAAGACCTGTCCCACCTTTGTGGCTCAGAGTCAGTAAGGAAGTGTCCAAGGGACACCATGTATGTGTGAGAAGTTAATAGGTAACCGACTACAAATCTCAGAGGGGAGGAATGAACACAAGGAGCTCCCCTTTGTCTTCTCAGAATCCATTTTACGGACTCAAGGCACCTTCTTCCTTTCTCTCTCTTTCTTTCTCTCTCTTTTTTTTTTTTTTCTGGTACCGGGAATCGAACTCCCGACCTTGCGCTTGCCAGGCAGGCGTTGTGCTGCTGAGCTAAATCCCCAGCCCGTTTCTTTCTTCCTTTCGAGACAGTGTCTCACTATGTAGCCCAGGCTGGCCTTGAATTTGTGCTGATCTTCTTGCCTCAGCCTCCGGGGTGCTGGGATTACAGGTGTGCCCGGTCACTGAATCACCGCCTTTGACCTCATCTAACTGCACTAAGATGTTTGGATTTGATTTGTTCATGGAGTAAAGGTCCGAGATGAGTAGGTGCGCTGAACTGCACCTTACCACCCTCTGACTTAGCTTGCAGAGTAGTTTGCTAATCTCATTTGGTTATTCAATGAGTTCTTTCATTTCTTAATTCTCTAGACATTTACCGAGCACCTGCACAAAGCTCCAGCTCCTTCTATCTGAGGCCCAAGGAAAGCTAAAACCAGGAAGACAACCTCCAGGAACCCATGGTCTGTGGGGGACAGGCTTAAGCACAGAAAACAGAGCACAGCCTGTGACACACTGCTGTGGGCTACTCCACAGCATAAGGGTAACAGGGTGTGGAGAGGTGGGAGGGGGAGTCATCCATCTGGGCTAGGGCCAGGTGAGCCTCGCAAATCTAAGTGGCTCTTGGGCCCAAACTGGATCAGAGCCTACAGGGTGATTCAACAAACAGGTATTAGGTGCCTTGGACAGGGTGAGGGAGGACAGAGAGTGGCAGAAACGCCCAGGGCCAGAAGCACCATTGAGGGCTGAGTGGTGAAAGATATGTGAGCGCAGTTTGCTCCTACACAAAGGGACAGGGGCCACCAAGAGAGTTCTGAGCGGAGAGAGGGAAGAGGAGGGGGCTGACACCAGGAGTGTGTTTGTCTGCTCCGTAGAGGGGAGGGCAGCGCAGCCCTGTGCGAGAGGAGTGGAACCGGAGGTGGTTACATGAAAGCTAAAAGAAAAAACCCACAAATCGGGAAAAAATTTTAGCT